GAGATCCAGAGCACAGGTAGAGGTGCTTTCCTTAGGTAGAGAGTGAGGAGGAGAAAGGGTAAGTTTATCTATGTAGATGCCAATGTGTTTGTTAGTATTGAAATGTGGAATTTTACTTCTGTTGACCTCCCCTTTCTGTGAATTATGAAGTGAGACTGAGAGAAGGGTGTCTGGGAAGGAAGGTCCTATGATGAATGCCTCAGCAAGGAAGGGTGCCATCTAGCTGGGCAAGGGGAAATAATGGAGATGATGAGTTTGCCTCCATTAATACTCACCTTGGTGCAATCAGAAGAGATTGTTGGATGGATGGATGAATGGATGGATGGATAGCAGTAAATATGCTAAATATGCATTCTGTTTTCCTTCACTCAATTTTTCTAAATTATTTTCAGAAATTGAGTTTGGGATGAAAATTTTCTTGGAGCCAGTATTCATTTAGTAATCATATTCCCATTTGCTTTTCCCATTTATTTTGCTCGAGCAGGATTTCTCAACCTAGACACCATTTTGATATTTAGTGCCAAAAATCTTTGTTGTGAAGACTGCCCTGTGTTCTGTAGGATGTTAAACAGCATCCTTGGCCTCTCCCACTAGATGCTAAACTCCCTCTCACAGATGTGAGAATAGAACATTTCCACAGACTTCATGAAATGTGCCCTGGGGGATTAAATTGCCGCTAGTCGAGAAGCTCTATTCCAGACCAAATGGAAAGGCTTTGCAGAGAGGGAAGGTGGATTCATGCTAGAAAGGCACTTGAACATTTTTCAGTGCATTGTGAAAATTATGCTTGAAGGTTTAATTTAAATATACCTGTTTGACAGATTACAAAATTGAGGCCCAGAGAGATTAAATGACTTACCTAAGGTGACACAGGTCATAAGTGACAGAGCTGAGATTTGAACTCAGATGTGTTAGATATCTAAAATTTAGAGACTTTTTAGAGCTTTCTTCAACAACATTTACTACTTACCTTGTAATTTTCCAGGGACATCTTTTGCCTTGGAATTAGGATGTTTATGTCAGGGCTGCTATTATTTTGCATGATAGCTTCTGTATTTGTATTTTGGTTAAGAAAGCCTGTTTGGGACAGTTTTAAATTTTATATTAGAAATATAATATGGAAAATTGGTCATCCATTTGTAAAATTATCTTTCTTTCACACCACACCTAGAAATATATTCCAAGCAGAATATATATTGAAACATGAAAAGAATAACTTGGTAGTTACAGAAAATATTGGAAAGCATTTTGTCATCTTAATATAGAGATTCTTGCTCAGCAAATATTTGTGAGGGAACAGGCACTCCTAAGTCTGCAGGAGAATATGTTGTTATTTTTTTTTTTCTTAAACAGCTTTATAGAGGTAGACATATTTACAGTGTTTGCTTTTAATAATTTTTGTATATGCATACATCATCACTACAATCAAGAAAATAAACAAATTTCATCACCCTCAAAAATCTTCTTGTCCCTTTGAAGTCCTTCCCCTCTCACCACCCCACATCCCTGCCAGCTTCAGGCATCCACTGATCAATTTGCTGTCAGTATGGGTTAATTCCATTTTTCAAAGTTTTATATAAAAAATGCAGTCATATAGGACATATGTGTGTGCTTGTATGTATGTCTGTGTGTATATCTTCATGTGTGTGTGTCTTGTTTTTTTCATTCAATGCAATTTTCAGATTAATTGAACTTGTTGCATTAATCAATGGTTTATTCCTTTTTATTGCTGAGTAGCATTCCATCATATATACACCACAATTTGATTACCTATTTGCAAATTGATGGGCACTTTTGTTGTTTCCAGGTGAAACTATTACAAATAAAGAAACTATGAAAATTTTTGTAAAAGTCTATGTGACTGTTTTCTTATACTTTGAGTAAATATGCAGGAGTGCAGTGAATAATCCATATGATAATTACATGTTAAACTTTCTAAAAATTGCTCAACTATTTTCCTAAGAAACTGTATCATTTAACTTTCTTGGAGAGACTAAAATTTATATTAATTCTTTATATGTGTAACAGAATTCTCTAGTTAAACCATCTGGGTCTGGTGATTTCTCCTTTGAGAGTTTTAAAACTGAGTTCAAAATTATTAATGATTATATAACAATTTAGATTATTTCATTTGGTCATTTAAAAAAAATATTCTAACATTGTACCACTTTACATTGTCACCAACCATGAAAATCTTAATTCCTCCATATCTTTCACAACATGTGTTGTGGGTTAATCTTTTATTAATATACCTGTTTTCAAGAAAAAAATAGTATATATCTGCATGTCAACATATGACATAATTGTGGCAAAATGTTAGAAATTGTTAAATTTTCATTAAGCATGAAAGTTCTTAAATTTTAAAACTATAAAAATAAATTTGTAACATGAGATTCACAACAAGAAAAACAATTGTAACCATTCTAATTAAGTATGCAGTGGCATCTCATTGTGGTTGTAATTGGCATTTCTCTAATGACCTAATGATGTTGAACTCTTTTTATGTTTGCCATTTTGTATATTTTCTTTAGTAAAGTGTTCAAGTATTTTGTCCATTTTCAACTGATTTATTTGTTTTATTACTAAGTTTTGTGGGTTCTTTGTATGTCCTGGATACAAGTCTTTTATCATATATATGATTTGCAAATGTTTTAACTGAGCCTGTAGCTTCACCCACTCTCTTAACAATGTGTTTTAGAAAAGCACAAGTCTTTTAATTGATGAAATCTGATTTATCAGTTCTTTTCTTTTGTAAACACTACATCTAGGAAATCTTTCCCTAACCTAAAATCACAAGAATTTTTCTCTTCAGTGTTATCTCCCTAAATGGCCACAATGGCTAGAGCTGGGCTGATCTGAAGTCAGGAGCCAGGAGCTTCTTCTGAGTCTCCCATATGGGTGCAGGGGCCCAAGCATTTGGGCCATCTTCTGCTGCTTTCCCAGGCACTTTAGCAGGGAACTGGATTGGAAGTGGAACAGCCAGGACTCGAACTGGCACCCATATGGGATGCCAGTGCCAAAGGCAATAGTTTTACCTACTATTCCACAGCACCAGCCCAACATTTCTTTTCACACTAATGATTAGAGTTGATTTTGTTATTTTCACTGCCTGAACAGTGGCCCCTTTCCTCTTGCACCACATATGAGTGTTATCTGAAAGTGTATGTACTCAGGCTAAAATTGGTTTCTCCAGAGAGGAAGATTCTAACATACACATCAGACACTATACAGGTTGAGTAGCCCTTATCTGAAATGCTTGGGATAAGAAGTATGTCAGAATTCAGATGTTTTAGATTTCTGGGAATATATATACATACAAATACACCCATACACATACACATGTATATACTCTCACACACACACACACAAAATGAGATATCTTGGGGGTGGGATCCAATTCTAAACATGATAGTCATTAAATTTCATATACATCTTATATACACATGGCCTAGAGGTAATCCCATAATTTTATACATGAAGCAACATTTCTTTATACTTGTGGTGTCATTTTGGTACTGAAAATATTTCTGATTTTGGAGAATTTGGAGGACTTGGGATTTTGAACTTTTGGATTAGAGATGCTCATCCTGTATAAAAACTCAAATCACAGCTCCTCCTGTACTCCTGCAGCACTCTTTGTAACATCCAAGGCAGTTTGGTTTCATTTTTAATTCTATTTTTTATTTTATTTAATTGAACAGCTAATACACCATGGTATGAAATTTTAAAAGAATGAAATCACATATAAGAGAAAACCATGTCCTTCTTCCCTCTTTTCTCCAACTAAATATTAATCATGCCTTGAGACAAAAAATAACCATATTCTTTGGTATCCTTTCGGAAGTATAGAGCACATGTGTATATGTGTATGTAGATGTGTTCAGTTTTTCTCCACATCCCACTCCAACCCACAAAATGAACTTGGACAACCCATTACACTTGATTTTTTTTAATTTAATTTTTTTTGCAGGCAGAGTGGACAGTGAGAGAGACAGGGAGAAAGGTCATCCTTTTCCGTTGGTTCACCCCTCAATGGCCGCTTTGGCCGGCGCACCGCGCTGATCCGAAGCCAGGAGCCAGGTGCTTCTCCTGGTCTCCCATGCTGGTGCAGGACCCAAGCACTTGGGCCATCCTCCACTGCACTCCCAGGCCACAGCAGAGAGCTGTCCTGGAAGAGGGGCAACCGGGACAGAATCCGGCGCCCTGACCGGGACTAGAACCCGGTGTGCCGACGCCACAGGCGGAGGATTAGCCTATTGAGCCGTGGCGCCGGCCATTACACTTGGTTTTTACCACACCCTGGGAAGTAGGTGGTGCTATCCTGTTGTTACAGACAGTAAGGGAAGCGGTTTGCTTAAGGCTTCCCAGGCAGTAAATAGAAAATTCAGGATAGATGTTGTGGTCTTTTTTTAAAGTTGTATTTTATTTATTTACTTGAAAAGCAGAGAGAGAGAGAGAGAGAGAGAGAGCGAGCAAGCAATCTTCGATCTGCTGGTTACTCCCCAAATGGCCACAGCAGCCAGGTCTGGGACAGGCTGAAACCAGGAGCCTGAACTCCATCTGGGTCTCCCACTTGGGTGGCAGTGGCCCAGATACTTGAGCCATCTTTCATTGCCTTCCCACATGCATTAATAGGAATGTGGATTGGAAGCAAAATAACCAGGACCAGAACCTACACTCTGATATGGGATATTGGTGTTGAAAGGGCACCTTAACCTCCTACACCTCAGTGCCGGCTCCTAATGTTGCAGTCTTGTGTCTGACTTCTCTCCTCCATGTTGAGAAGTTCCAGGTATTGTGCTTTAAGCATGGAAGGATCTCTAAGCCCTTTGCTGGTGGCTAGTATGATTAAGTAAATCTCTTCAGTTTCTTTAGCCATATTGGTGGTTGTATGGCAGTCTCTATATGTGATGCTGGTTGGCACCAACTGGTAGGTAGCACTGGAGAGACAAAAAACTTGATCTAATTGTTTCCTGGATATCTTCCTTACCCTTCCACAGATCTACTTAGGCCCACCCGAGGAAAGTGCTGCGCCCCCAGTGCCTCCACCTCGGGTGACAGCAAGAAGGCACAAACCAATCACAATTTCAAAGCGCTTGCTGCGAGAAAGGACCGTGTTCTATACTTCTTCCCTGGATGAAAGTGAAGGTTAGTACCTTTAAGTGATCAGACACAAAGGGGATATCGAAGTGCAGAGGTGCAGGGGTGGCTATTTTTCTCCATACAAAGGTAGACCTTTCCTGGTTTTTGAGTTTAAAAGCGCCAGGGGAAGTAAGCTTTATAGTTTGTGCCCAGAGAGGGAATTAATCATTTGGCATTGAATAGTATGGGAATGAGCTTGTAAAGGAAGCTCTATGATCTCTTATAAGGCCAGTGGAGGATCCAAGATGTTCTTAGATCTGTATTTTCAATACTTTGAAGTGGGTGAGCTAGGTGCTTTCTGAATGTTTGAGATTTGAAATTCAAATGGGGCTAACAAGGATTGATTGAATAGCTTCTGTGGTCCAGATGCTGTGCTGAATACCAGGTGAAGGGAAGACTGCTTCCCTGGCTTCAGGGAGCTTACAGGGTAAAGGAAAGCAGAAATGTGCATGAATAGATGTCATCCAGTGGAATACTTGTTGGTACAGAGACTGCGCCCATTCTAAATGAGCCTCTGCCCCTACTACTCCACTACTCATCAGACTCAGCTTGTAAGCACCTTTGATTCAGCTGACTAAATCCCCCTTCTGGAAATGCTGTGTTCACTTGGCTCTCAGGACACCTCGTTCCATCTCAGTCCCCTCTGCAGGTTTTCCTTCTCTCCCCCACTTACGTTTTATTATTTTTTAAAGATTTATTTACTTGTTTGAGGGGTAGTGTTATATATAGAGAGAGAGACAGAGAGACAGAGAGACAGAAGGAGAGGTCTTCCATCTGCTGGTTCACTCCCCAAGTGGTCATAATGATCACAGCTGGGCCGATCAGAAGCCCGGAGCCAGTAGGTTCTTCCCACTTGCTGAAGTTAAGAACTTTGCAATCATCCTTGATTATTCTTTTCCCCTTTTCTGTCACATCTGATCCATCAGCAATTCCTGTCATCTCTACACGTACATTGTGTGCTAAATCCCTCTGCTTCCTACTGCTACCACCCTGTTTGAGCCATCATCATCTCTTCCCTGGTATCCTTGCTTGCCTTCTTACCTGCCTGAATCCATTTTCTATAGAAACCAGCAGAATATACGTCCTTTAAAAATGTAAATCAGATCACATCATTCCCACTGCTGCACGTTTTTAGTGTCCTCTCTTGACACTTAGAATAAAACTTACAGCATAGTTGTTAAAATGCCATGTGGAATCGCAGTGTCTAGATTTGAGTCCTGGCTGTGCTCCCTCGGAGACAAGAGGTGATGGCTCAAGTCATTGCATTGCTGCCACCCACATGGGAGACCCAGATTGAGTTCCCTACTCCCAGCTTCAGTCAGCCCCAGCCCCAACTGTTGCAGGTATTTGGAGAATGAACCAGTGAATTAACAATAGCCTTTGCATTTGCTGTTCTCTTGGCTCTAAATACTCTTCCTTCAGGACTTGACAAGGCTTACTCCTTCATTCACGTGTCTGTGAAGTGTCATCTCCTCATAGATAACTTCTCTGAGCACTCTAGTTAGTTCTTTCTTTTCCTTCAGTCACTCCCTAGCCCTTTACACGGCTTTATTTTAGTCATATCACCTGCTATTATTTGTTCACGTGCTTACTATCTGCCTTTCCCTTTAGAAACTGAGATTAATTTTATTACTAGCCCCTAGAACAATTATTGGTATATATTGAATGAGTTGGTAAGAATTTATAGAATGAAGAAATGCATGTATTTAGGAATAAAGAGGTTTAAGGGATCACCTCTTTCATAAAAAATGTGAACTGGCTTTCAAGAGAAAGTGTAAAGGAATATTGAGTGCCTGCTCTCCTGTTCCATGATCTCATTTTTACAGAAGAAGCTTTTTGTTGTTGTTTGTTTGTTTACAGTCTCTCAAAATATCAGCTCTATGCCAGCAGAAACTTTTGTCCATATTGTATCCATAGCAACAGCACAGCACCTGGCACATAGTAGGCCCTCAGTATTTAAGTGCAATACATGAACGAACTGGGTGTTAATAGACCTAAGGCTTCTGATGAAATTAACATCTCGGCTGCTAGCATGCTGAGTAACTTGAGCTAGTCACTTCACCTCTTTGGGTATCAATCTTCCCCTCTGTGTGATGAGGGCTTTGTGCCAAAAAACTCTCCAGTGACATCACTTAGTCTAGACATTTGTATTTTATTTTTAACTTCTTTTAAAACTGCTATATAATTCACATGCTATAAATTCACTCTTTTAAAAGCATACAGTTCAGGAGTTTTAGTGTATATTGTGCAACTGTCTTATTTCAGAACATTTCCATCACCCTAAGAAGTTCCACACCTTCCACTTCCCTCCTTTCCCCAACTCCTGGCAATTAATCTACTTTGTGTCTCTACGAATTTCTCCATTCTGGATGTTTCATATGAATACGATTATATAATAATATATTGTCATTTGTGGCTGGCCTCTTTCACTTAACATTCTGTGTTCAAGATTCATCCATGTGTGTGTATTCAGGACTTCATTCTTTTTATTGCCAAATAGTATTCCATTGTATGACTGTAGCACTTTTTGTTTATTCATCAGCTGATGAAAACTGGAGTTATAGTCAGTTTTTGGCTCTTAAGAATAATGCTGTTATGCACATTCATGCACAGGTTTTTTTGTGAATATCTCTTTTTTATTATCTAGGACTGGCATTGCTGGGTCACATGTTCACTCTATATTTAAACATCTGAAGGATGACCAGGCTGATTTGCTGCACCATTTTGATTTCCCACCAACAATGGATGAGGATTCTAGTTTCTCCACATTCTATCCAATACTTGATATAGTCTTTTTGATTTTCATCATCCTAAGTGGGTGGGAATCCATGGTCTCATATAATTTTCAACATTCAGTGTGAAGTTGATATTTTGAGCTGCATTTAAAAAAAGAGCTTTGTTCATTTATTTGAAATTCAAAGTTACAGAGAGCAGGGGGAGAGAGAGGGGGGAGAGAGAGATGTTCCATCTTCTGGTTCACTCCCCAGATGGCTGCAACAGCCAGGGCTGGGCCAGGCTGAAATCAGGAACATAATTTATCCAGGTCTGCCACATGGGTGGCAGGGGCCCAAATACTTGGGCCATCCTCCACTGCTTTTCCCATTACCAGGGAGCTGGATGGAAAGGGGGAAGTCAGGACTCAAACTGGTGCCCATAGTGGCTTTACCCACAATCCCACAATGCATTTTATAGTGAAGAGTGAGTAATTTACTCAATTAACACAGCTACTAAATGACAGAATAGAAACTTGTATCCATCTATCTTATCCCAAAGTTCATTTGTCTGTTATAATATCGTGCTTCCTAAAACCTGTCTGAGTGCTGTTCTGGGAAGGAAGTAATCCTTCTTACCACTGTTCTTCACTGGCAGCATTTCATTATGTTACCTCCAAACTTTGTAGGTATATAGTACGTCAGTAGCTTCTTCCACCATAATCATGGGACTACTTCACCTCTCCATATCTAAGCCCTGTAGATTCCATCTGTAATAGCTCTAGCATCTGTCTCTTTTTGCTGATGCTGTTCCAGTTTGGATCCTTCTCACCAGCACTCCCCTAGGTTCTCCCCACCTGCCATCTCTGTGGTACAATCTACTTTTCATGAACAACTCAAAGGGATTGCTAAAAGCACATATTCAGTAATTCCTCCAAAAAAGTCATTATCCTCTTGTGGTCCAAAGATAAAGTTCATTTTCCTGAGCATGGCTTTCATGCCCTTCGAGGTACAGCCCCAGCCTATCTTAACAACTTCATCTCCAGCTACTTGTCCCTTTCATCTTAAATTGGCTCCTGTGCTCAAACCAAAGTTTTCATTTTATTTTATTAAACAAACTATGACCTTTCACTTTTCCAAGTTGCTCTTTGTTTGAAATGTTCTTCCTACTTTTCTTTATCTATTGTAATCCTTCAAGACCCAGCTCAAGTTACCTCTTTCAAAGACCTTCTCCCACTCCAAAGGAAATGAAATCAGCATTTGAAAGAGATGCCTGCATGCCTATATTTATTGAAGCACTGTTCTAATTAGCAAAGACATGGAATCAATCTAGAAGTCTATCAACTGATGCCTGGATAAAGAAAATGTGATATAGATATAGATATAGATATAGATATAGATATAGATGATGAAATATTACTCACCCATTAAAAAGACTGAAATCCTAACGTTTGCAATTAGAGATAGATCAGTATGTTAAATGAAATATGCCAGACCCCAAAACACAATATCACATGTTTACTCTTATTTGCATTAGTTAGTATATATAGAGAGTATAAAAATTGTGTAGATTTCATATCATTTGGTATATAGTTACAAATATTGCTTCACTGAATCATGATATGTAAATGTCAAAATGTTCTTCTTTCCAACATAATTGTCATGAGTCCCTCACTGTGATATTAATACCTCTCTTCAAAAAAAAAAATACTATACGTGTCTATATTTGAAATAATGTGACAAAATGCTTGAAAGTTATAAAATAATAATTTAAAAAATTTTAAAAAAGGGTGACCTTCTCTAACCATTCCACACAGAATTAGTACTATATTACTCCTAACATTTGTTGGCATGATTGTACCTAGATTATAATCACAGATCTTTTTCTCCTGCTGGAATAGTGTGTAATCTCTCAACACTTCCTCTTCCCACTTTCCCATATATAGAAGAGAGACCTTCAGTTTAAGGCTTAGCTATCTGCCTGTTTGTGGGACTTCCCTGACTGCTCCAAATTCACTCCCAGTTCCCTGCCGTTTTTGAGGCCAAGTTGGTTGTTTTCCTATGTAAATTGATGGTGAGTTTGAGAAAAAGTTGCTGACAGGAACTTTTGGCCTGTGGAATCAGACTTCAAGATTTGAAACCTGGCCCTGTCATTTACTAGTTTTGTGACATTGATTCCCTCTGTGCCTTAGTTTCCTTGTCTATAAAATGGAGCTTTGTAAGAGTTTGTTGCTTTATACAGTTGTTTTAAAGGTTATGTAAGCTAATCTGGCACAGAGTAAGTGCTCAAATAATGGTATATGTTGTCATTATTATTATTATCATCATCATCTTTGCCACTATTGTTTTTATTCAGCGGTCGTGAGAACTTAGAAATGCTTTCCCTGGCAGAAGGGCCTAGTGTCAAAGTCACCACTGCTTCTGTCGATTCATTGCCTCTATTCTGGGCTAAGAGAAGATCCTTTCCCACGTGAGAAGGCAGTGGCCTCTCTGAGACCGCATATACAGGCCATCTGATTAACACTGGACATTTTATTGAGATGGGGATGATACTGTTATGGCCGATAGGGAACAGGCAACTCCCGTTGTCTCCTCTGCAGGAGAGCAAGGTTGGAATTTCCAAGGGTATTTCTGCCAGAAAAAGAAAATATTCAGATAGGGACATGGAACTGAGGTATCTGTCCTGAAGCATGTGGAGAAAGGAATCCAAGCCATCATATACTTTCACTGTTTTGCAAGAGTAGTGGCTGTTGAAAGACAACCTCTGCCACAGGCATATCCTGGGAGCCAACTGATCAAGTTACATGGCACTCTTAGGCTTATGTCCCTGACATTACTTGTGAACGTTTCGCAAGCTGTTGCTTGACTGCTGCAGTCTAAATGCAGTTGTGTTAGGGTTAATAAAAGAAGGACTCTGCATCTACTCTGGACCAGAGTAGAGAAACTATACAGGCACTTCCTTGGACCCAGCCTCGTTAGCAGTGGCAGCAGCAGTTCTGGACACATTTTCAAGAAGAAAACTCTCTGGGGGAAGCCTTCATAGTAAGGCATTTCATATGGAAATTCTTGCCTCATCGCCCAATGGGAGCATAATAATACAAATTATAACTACTAATTATTTACTAATTATTGAGTGTCTGTTATGTACCAAGTACTGAAATCAATTTACCATCTCCTATAACCCATACTACAATATCATAAGACAGATACTTTATTATTCTAATCCTCATTTTACTAATGAGAAAATGGAGATATAGAAAAAATATGGAACTTGTCCATGGACCCATAGTTGGTAAGTAGCAGAACTGAGATTCAGACCTGGCCACCTGGTTCCAGAGCATGCATTGTTTTTAACACCTTATTATGAAGTATTTCAAATATAAACAGAGGTTGAACAAAAAGTCTAATTAACCTCCCATTTCAACATTTGCCAGCACCTGTCCAGTCTTGTTTCATCAATACCTCTACCCACTCACCCAATCCAGACATCATGTCATTTCATTTATAAATGTTTTAGTATGTATCCCTAACAGATACTCTTTTCAAAGAAAAACCACAATATTATCATCATACCTAAAGAGTAAAAACAAAAAACGCGGGGCTGGCATTGTGGCGTAGTGGGTTAAGCTGCCCCCTGCAATGCCAGCATCCAGTGTGGATGCCAGTTCAAGTTTCGACTGCTCCATTTCCAATCCAGTTCCCTGCTAATGCTCCTGGGAAAACAGAAGAAGATGACCCAAGTGCTTGTGGCCCTGCATGCATGTGGAAGACCCAGAAGAAGCTTCTGGCTCTTGGCTTCAGCCTGGAACAGCCATGGCTGTTGAGGCCATTTGGGGAGTGAACCAGTAGAAACCAGTAGATGGAAGATCTCTGTCTCTCTCCTTGTCTCTGCCTCTCTCTCTCTACCCCACCACCACTCGGTAACTCTGCCTTTCAAATAAATAAATAAATAAAAATTTAAAAAATGGTTCCTTAACATGAACTATCTAGTTGGTTTCCAAATTCTTCTATTAACACACTGAAACATCAGGATCCAAGTAAGATCCATGTATTACAGTTGTTTGCTATATCTCTCAGATCTTATTTTGCCAACCAGAACCTGTATTCTTAACTGCTACTCTAGGTCTAAGTTTTTCATTACTAAGGAAAGTGACAATTTCCTTACAGGAGGCTTTCTCAATCTGGGGTTCATTGACAGTTTCAGGGAGCTCTGTGAATCACTTAGTATTCAAAACTTTGATTACATTTGTATAGGTTAATTTTGCCAAGGAGGGATTCCCTGGTTCTCATGAGGGTCTCAAAAGCTTTAAGTAAGATGCAGAACCACTGTTAAATGCATACTAGTATCAGGGAAAAGCAGACCACAGAAGCTAGAGCAAAAACATAGCTACTTGGGGGACTCTTTCTGGGACTGGTGAAAGAAATTAAATTCTGTTATATTTATTAAGCTGACATTTCAAGGACCTTATCAAATTACTTTTGTGAGAGTTAGTCAAGAATTAACTGTCTTTATTTTAAAAGCGTAGAATGTATAATTTATTCGTGATTTTAAATCTCTTCTGAATTATGTATCCCTTTGAATATTGTGGTTTACTGATTGTGGTGATGGAAATTGTATTCAGATCTTGAATTAAAGTCTCTTCCTGGATGGCACCTGTGGTTCCACATGAATTGAGGAGGGTGGTGACTGGCTTTGTGAGATATAGTTGATTTGTGCCACAGTGACAGCTCCTTTGAAAATATCTACAAATTATCACAAGTATGTATGCATATATCCAAATGAAAGAGGTTGTAAATGGTATCGTTAATCTTCTGTGTACCAACTTTTACCAGATGAAATCCAACATCAAACACCCAATGGTATGATCACCAGCAGCATAGAGCCCCCCAAGCTGCCACAGCACCTCAAACTACCTACTCAGAAGAGTGGGGAAGTGGATCCTGGCAGGAAGTCCCCAAACAAGCCTGTTTCTGATGGCAAGTTGGAGCCCTGCACCGACGTGGACGTAGGGAGATTGGTGTCTAGGTTACAGGATGGAGGGAGCAAGGCCATCCCGAAGGCCACCAACGGGCCAGTGCCAGCCTCTGGGCCCACCAAGACACCCTCTTTCCACATAAAGAGACCAGCTCCCAAACCCGTGGCACACCACAAGGAGGGTAAGTGAATGGGAACCCCATGGGAACTGGAACTGACCCACTGCTTTTCACTCTGAGATTGGAGATATGTTCAAGTGGAAATCAGTTCCAGTTTACAACGACTAGTATTGGAGTGGAGAGTAACCATTCATAGTAGTCACTAGAATGTAAGCTGGAAGAGGGCAGGATGTTATCTGCCTGTTTTGTTTAACTACAACAATTCCTGGCTTATGTGTAGTAGGCCCTTGTTATGTGGTATGAGTGAGTAGTAATGATATGATTATGATTATGATTATTAATGCTGTATTAATGCTGCTGTTGCCATTTTTTGAGTATCTGTTATGTGCCTTTCTGTGGTAGGTTCTGATATACTACTTTTTATCCTCATGACCCCACTGTGAAGAATGTATTATTCTTGCTTTTTTTTTCCCCATTAGGAAACCAAGGATCCTAAAGATAAGTAACTTGCCAATGATTCACAACTAGTCATTGGCAGAGCCAGGATCTAAATCTTAACTTGTCTGGCAGGCACCAAAGTCTGTTCTTTCCACTGAGGCAGAACTATCATGTTACCTTTCTATAAGAAGATTTGAATCTGTTCTCCTTCTCACTTTCCAGTTTAGGAGAATTAGGGATAAAGGGGCACAACATCTGCAAACCTCTGGGCTTCAGAAATTCTTGCAAATTCAGGATGTGGCTGACTTGCAAGTTTAATTGGCTACTGCACATGGTGATCCATATTAAAAAATTCAATTTTAATCCAGAGGGGAGTTTCTGGGGCAATAATACTGTGAAGAGAGCATGGTATCATAGAGAGAATATGGATTTTGGTATCACAAAGACTTGAATCCAGATCCTGGCTCTTTGACTTTGTAGATAGATGACTTTCTAGAAATGTGCTTTATGAGTTTATATCCTGTCCTGTTCTAAAAAGGATTTAAGACATTTCACAATATGGCAAAATATAAAAACCTAAAAATAGTAAGAATAATTTATTTGGCAGGTATTTATTGAGTACTGAGTGTGTATCTGGCCCCTTTCTAGATGCTGAGAACATAGGAATAAATAAGATATACAAGGGCCCTGTCTTCTTGAGGCTTAGCTCAGACCTTGGCAAACTATGGCTTGAAGGCCAGATCAGATCCATTACCTCTTTTTCTATGGCTTGCAAGCTAGGAATGTATTTACATTTTAACTATTTGGGAAAAAAAGTAAAAATATTATTTCATGACACGTGAAATTATATGAAATTCAAATTTGTCTTCATCAATATATGCATGCTCCCTCATTTACATAGTGTCTGTGGCTGCTTTCTAGCTGCAACAGAATTGTGTAGTAGTTGCAACAGAGATCTAATGGCCTGCAGAGTCCGAAATACAAGTGGGTCTTTCAAAAGCCTAGGGAGAATGCATATTATGAAAAACCTAGGCGTGGATTTCAAAATTTTTTTGTACCAAAATAAACTCACCACATATAACAACCTTAGTAGGAGCCTATGGTGTCTCAGAGAACAATTTAGTATAAGCTATTCTCTGAGGAATCCACTCACCAATGGACACGATGAATTCTGGGCTTGACCCACTGATGCATCTGTGTAATCACAGTTCAGTTATTTAACCACTTTTCTTAGTGGTTTCTGTATCTGCAAAATGGGAGAAACAGTTCCTCCACAGAATTATTGGTGGGATTAAAAAGAATAACAAATAAAATATCTGGCTCATCATCAGCATTCAAAATATGATTATTAGTTCCCTCCTGTCCTCCCTTCTCCCCACCTCCCTAAATTTTGTCTTTTCTGGGAAGTAGCCAAGAAAGGCCAGGCTAATTTGTAGACATCTGCTTTGGTTTATAAGTCATATATTGACCTTCATTATCAATCTGCTGGAAAGTTGGGCAACTCAACTTACACTCATCACAGTAAAATTTCTCTTGCCTGTAGCCAGGCCTTGAGATCAGCCAGATCCTATCAGCTCAGCACACACGCAGTAACTTAGCCCTCCCTATCAGCTCTGCCTTCACCATCTTCTGCTGCAAAGTGAAATCCCAGCAGTATTTTCCTCTCCCCCTTTCTCCATGGTCCTGCCCCTGGCTGCTGGTGCCAGCTGCTCTGATCTGATGGTGTCAATTAATGTAAGTACTCATCTGACTCGTTCAGTATCAGCCAGACTATCTAAAGCGGTGCCGTAGCATTGCCTGGCTTTGCTTTCTGCTCTACATCAGCTAGCAACAGGCTGGCATGATGCAGCTTTTCTCAAAGCCCTGTGCCACTAGTCTTGGCCTACAGAAAGCAGAACTGAGTCTGTTTTGGCCATGGCGGAGAATTAGCCAAACCTCTGGTGCAGTTGCCTCTTTGAACCTTACTCTTCTGCCTCTGCCTCACCTCTCTCCCTCCTTCCCCATTTTGGCTGCTTCTCCATGGTAGATTCCTGAGCATCAGGATGGTTATCAATTAAGCAAAAGCTGCAAACAGTTCTGATCCTGACACAGAGCTGATAGTTAATTAGCTCCTTGTGCTGGCCAGCAGACTCAGTGGCGGTACCAGAGGGAGGGAACTATGTTACCCCAGCTGACCCACTATGCACCTTGTACTTGTTGCTCCCTTTTAGCTCTGTTGTTGAGGGCTTCACTTGCCCTCCTGAGGGTCAGTGTACAAGCTTCATTGATTTAGTGACCCAAGTGTGCACTCCGGCTTCATCCTTTCCAGTGACGGAGCATTTGAGCAGACTAGGTATTCTCCACATTTTTTCTCAGTAATTACAAGTAGCGGTAGCACGGTACCTGTTAAATCACTTCCATGACTGTCGACTTTACGATAAAATAAATATCATTTGCTGGTAGAATTGTTTCAAGCCACACCCCACACCTTTTTTTTTTTTTTTTTTTTGGTCCAGACATAGAGCTGGGTCTCTTGCATCTAAGCATTGTGATAGGCCTGTGAGGAAGATCTTATTCTCTCCATTTCACAGATGGAAACACTGAGACTTACAGACATTAATCAACTTGCCCAGTCACACAGGCTGTAAGTCATAGAAATGGGCTTGAATCTAAGCTTCTTGGGTCCAAGTTGAGGACATTTCTCCTTTCTACCAAATTCTTCCTTCTTCAGCTGTGTTAGCCACCTTCTCCTTTCTGTTTTTCTAAGAAGCACTCACTTTTGGGAGAGCAAAATTATGGATGCCCACGTTTCTGCATTCATTTGCTGTCACTGTCCCTTATGAGTCCTGGCTTTGTAAAGGGCAAATGTGTAGCTTCCATAGAGATCTTAGGACCTTCCTTTTAGGAAGGAAGAGGGGGGAGGGCTATATCCCATCTACTTGCATGTGTTTCTTCACATATTCGGGTATGTTGCTATGCAACTGGAGAGAGAAAGATGAAAGGCTTATGGTCCCTGCCTTCCAAAGGTTCATGGTAAGACTAACATGCAAAACAGTCAGGCCCAGCCTAGTGTGTTCCATGTTCTTAAGGGGGTGAGAATAAATTCCAGTAGGGGCATGGAACAAGGAGTTCTTCATTGTGCCTGAAGTATTGAGATAAAAGGGGAGAGCAAGCTGTGGTCAGGATCCTATGACATATGGGTTTAGGAGCCTTTCTTAGAAGCTCCTTTCCACTCACTTGGCTGGGGGCGGGGCAGAGACTGCATCTGGTGGTGTGCTCCTGGGCTTGGAGACATCCTACATGCAAGGCCTTGCTCAGTCACAGGGCCATCAATTCTCCACTGTGGTGACTAATGCTATGAGTGGCATTTGCTCTAAAAGTATTAGGAACAGACTTGCTCTTGCAGTAATGGGCGTTGCTGGTCTTTATCCAGATTTTCCTGTTTGGACTCATACTTTAATCATCTACTCTTTGGTCTTTATTCTCTGCCTTTCCTGGAACCTAACTCCGAATTGTTCCACAACCATAATTAATGGCTAAGGGAAAAGGAAGACTTTTAAGGTGAGCATGGAAGAGTGTCATAAAGAGAATTCTAGAAGACTAAAGGAATCTCTAAAAGGAAACAGCTTCCCTCTATGTTGTGCCCTCTTGTTGGTATGGTTAAATTTGAGGAAAGGAGAAAGAAAGTTGCTGAAGTTTGGAGACAGATGACCATCAGACACCAAGAAATCTGTAAACGCTAAGATTCTTTGTTTATAGCCATTTGACAGAGAGTAAAAACAGAGGGAACAGGTCGTGCTAGAGAGGGAGATCAAATTTATAGTAAGAGCCAGGTTGTGGACCAAGGTTAAAATGAAATTAGAAGGAAGTAGTTTGGTAGAGGATTATATTCTCAAGAGGCTGTTGAAAGTCCAGGCTCTGGAGTCTCCCAGATGTGAGTTTGAATCCTGGGTATGCCTCTCCCTTAGCTGTGAGACTTTGGGAAAGTCACAGAATCTCGGAGCCTTCATTTTCTTGTTTGCAGAATGTGGATAATTGTGCACATAGGATTGCTCTTATAATTGAAAAGAAGCAGCTATGTTTCTGACACATCATGAGCACGTGGGAATAGAATAAAGGGCATCTAGAATAGAGATGATTAATTATAAGACATGTGAATAAAACAATAAATATTGCCATTTGGACTGTAGGATATGTGAAGAATAATGGTGGAAAGGTAGATCAGAGAGGACAGTTGAAGCCAAATAGAAGAGGATAGTGCATGCCAGGGTAAATATTTTGGGTGTATTCTGCTGGCAACAGGGAACCATAAAATTGGCATCTTTCACACACACACACACACACACACACACACACACACACACAGAACTGGTTTCTAATATACTCCAAAAGAAGCATATGAAAGTCAGCAGGGAGAGACAGCAGAGATGGATAGATTTATGTCATAGGCTCATTCAGCCTCATTCATCTAGAAAACAGTTCGATCTTTATGTTGTACTGGTAGCTAAGTGATCTGCTGAAGATCATACAAGTTAGTTTTAGCATTAAGAATGAAATGTGGTTACATGTAACTGTTTCTTTCCTGTCTCGCCAGTTTGCCATTGTGACTTAACTGTAACTGAGACAAGTCAGAGGCAAGAGGCAAGAGGCAACAGTATTGGGGTATTTCAGCCAAGGAAATCCTTTGCACCTACTTCAAAGCTTGACTTACAATGAGTCATCAAGTTGAAGCTTCCATTAAAGGGCTTAGGAAGATGCAAGGTTTATGATGTTTGTTTTCCAAGGCCATAGGTTGATGTTCCTTTGGCTATGGCTGTACCTTGGGAATACATGGCTCATATTTCAAGGATGTCACCTGGTTTGCTCATTAAGGGGGGAAGTAGCCCTAGGATGGACACAGCATCAGGTAGAAGTGTTTTATTATGGTTCTGACAGTATAGCATGTCCTTCCTGTCGGATTGCTCTACTCTCTCCAGCAATAATCAGTAGAAATGGGGCAATACTGTTAGTTCTGGTCACCTCTGAGCTACAGTGAGGAAGCATTGTTATGTGACCTAGTGGTTCTCAACCTTGGATGCACACAGCATCACCTGGGGAGCACTGAAGAATACCCATGCCCCAGGTTCCGGTCAGTTCAGCTAGGATCTCTGAGGATACGTCCTCCATATTACATAATTCTGAAGCGCCTCACTGTTCCTGATGTGTAGCTAGGGTTGAAAACCACTGATAGTTGGGACAATATGGATTTCAGAAATCAGATGAACCTGAATTGATTGCGGATGAATTCTGAGGTTCCTTGTTATCATGGAGTCTTTGTTTCTTCAATGATAATAACTTCTACAGGATTATGGCCAATGTTAGATAAGAAACTGTGCATAAAGCACTGAGTACAGCATCACAGCATCTGGAATAAAATACATTCAATAAAAAGGTAGATTAAGGGGCTGGCGCTGTGGCATAGCGGGTAAAGCCACCACCTGCAGTGCCAGCATCCCATGTGGGTGCCAGTTCGAATCCTGGCTGCTCCAGTTCCTATCCAGCTCTCTGCTGTGGCCTGGGAAAGCAGTAGAAGATGGCCCAAGTCCTGGGGCCGCTGCACCCACGTGAGAGACCCGGAAGAAACTCCTGGCTCCTGGCTTCGGACCGGCGCAGCTCCAGCTGTTGCGGCCAATTGGAGAGTGAACCAATGGTTGGAAGACCTCTCTCTCCCTCTCTCTCTCTCTCTCTCTCTCTCTCTCTCTCTCTCTCTCCCCCTCTCCTCTCTATGTGCATCTCTGACTTTCAAGTAAATAAGTACATTTTTTTAAAAAAGGTAGCTTAGAATTTTTGTCAGTACTATTTTATTACCATTACTAGGATTGTTATCATTTATAGTTTTGTTTTACTATTAATAACAAGCAGCAGACATAGAAAATCTGTGGATGTGGAGTGGGAGATACAGGCCTCATTCCTCACTCTACCATTTATCTAACCACATGGCTGTAGATAAATCAATTTATTTTTCTGAACCTCAGTGTTCTTCTCTGTAAAATGGGGATAACACTTGTCTATTCTTCCCTTCCAAGCTTATTGTGATGATAGCTATCATCTGGGATAGTGCTTTAAACAGTCTAAAGTTTGTTAGAAAGGTTGGATTATTAATATCTTTTTGGTTAATTTTTCGTGCAATTCTGTGCACACAGCCTGGTGCAAAAGGGCATAGCATATCCATTAATATAAGATACAGTCTAGCCAGGGAAACAGAATCAGATGAGAGCACATTAATTATGTTTTGCTCATTCTTTAAGTAGAACACCAGTCACACTGTATTGTCATTTCTCTTCTCCTATTTATCTATTTGCCTAGATTTGCCACATGGATGAATTTTTTAAGATCACACTGTACTATGCAAGCACCTGTGAACATTTACATGGATAGAGGCTGATACGTACTTACCCTGCTATATGCCAGTCACAGTCCGTAGGCCATCTCAGTTAGTCCTTATAATCACCTTATGAGGAAGTATTGTTTGACCTGTTTCTCTGGAATTACTGGATCAACAAGTGGGAACACTCATATGTATGATTTCTATTTTACCCACATTGTTCCAGAATGCTTGATGGCTATCTGGATAGAATTGGCCCTGGTTGTGGTGCTGCCAGCAGCGTGTGAGGACAGGACACCTTTTTCACCATATTCCTGCAGAACTGTTTTGTAGACAATTGTTTATGTTTATTTTATACGGACCTAGAAACTAGAGGTGTGCAGGTTGGAAGGCGAGTTGAGAGGCTGCTACGATGGTCAAACCCTAAGTGGTGAAAAGATCCTGGATTCCAGTGATGACGAATTTATCAAATTCAAATTCATCACCCAGCGTTTGCTAAACACCTACTACAAGGGTGCTTCAAAAAATTTGTGGAAAATGGAATTAAAAGATGTTTATTTGGGTGCAAAAAAACTTTTGGAATGCATGTGTAGTTTTCTTCATAATCTGCATTGTCCATGGAATTTTGGAAGACTTCTCCGTGCATGGTTATCAATTTTTTCTACCAAAATAAATGGAATCTTTGAATTTCATTCACCACAAACTTTTTGAAGTACCCTCATATGTGTCTGGCACTGTACTAAACAGATTAGTACCTGATTTAATCCTCTCAGTATTTCTGGTAGAGAATGAATTAGTGGTCTTGATGATATAGCCGAGGAGGCTGAGACTTGGGAAATTTATATGGCATGCCCAAGGCATGTGAAGTTGCACAGCCTGGGTTCAAACCAACTTTCTGAGTGGACCAGCTGCCAGAAGAATTACCGAGAAAAGTTGTTAATGATAAAGAAGAATTGAGAGCAAGGAAGGTAGCCAATACTAAGGTACAGTGCTAGGTAGCTCCAGTATTGAGTGCCTGCTCCCCAGTAGTATGCTGTTTGGCTAACCATCCGACATGCTGTTTTCCAGGGGATGCTGACAGTTTCAGTAAAGTGCGGCCTCCAGGAGAAAAGCCCACCATCATTCGTCCCCCAGTGAGGCCCCCAGATCCTCCCTGTCGGGCAGCTACTCCCCAGAAGCCAGAAACAAAGCCAGATGTGGTGGCTGGCAATGCAGGGGAAATCCCATCATCTGTGTAAGTAGTATTATTCCCAAGTGTTGACCTAATAGCTATCTTGGGCCACCAGGGATGCTTTGGGGATCAACATATGTGGCTGTGCAGTATATCGTGTATAGCCCTGGGCTATCATTGAGTTCACAGTCTAGGGGAATGTCATAGGGCCAGCCTTGTTTGGGATGTTACCCTCAACACTGAAGGTCAAGAGATTTCCCTAAAGCTGAAGACTTTGAACTTCATTGCCTGCTAGGTGAGCCATTTTTCTTACCTGCCCTGAACTCTGTAGGCTGATAAAATTACCTTCTGTTTTTAGCTCCCTTGGCTTGGGAATATTTTATTTTTCTTATTTCTTGTTGCTGCTACTGATTTTAGAAGCAATTTAATGAACAGAGTTGTTCATTGTGCTTGTGCTTGAGGCATTTTTTTGGGTAAGTAAAAGGTAGGACTTTTAAAAATCTTTCAAAATTACTCAGATTTTCTACAGAGACTATTTTGTGGTAGGAGCCAATCTGACATCCAGCAGGCCTTCTTGAGGCTGGGCTATAAGCCAAGGACCTAGGAAACGAATGGCTACCTTGGGACCACCACAGCTCTCAGGGATCAGCCTGGCTTGGGCACAACTAGGCCAAGAGGTCTCTTGTCAGCCAGTGATTGACAGCTCTCGGTATATTGCCTCCCTCCTGCTATTCCTTCCTCTTTGGTCTAATGTTTTCCATAACTGTAGAATCAGGGAAAGAAGAAGAACAATGCTTGCACAGCTTTGACTAATTAGCTAAGTGTGTTTACCAAATGCCAAAAATTATACTTTGAGACCAAGAACTGGTTTCACTTATCCCTCCGCCCCCTCCCACCAAGGAAAGCCTGAATGAATAACATACTTAGGCCATTCTGAACCAGCAGGGAGCAAGGGTGTTACCTCTGACCTTTGGGGTGCCTATAGGCTCTGAGCCATTTCAAAATCTGGTGTTTGTGTTTCTCCTGAGTCCCGTGTCCTTTGCTGGCAAAGACAGGGCCTAATGATGGTGGCCCATCTGGTTCAGAGTCCTCTGCCTTTTCTGTTGGCCTTTAGTTCTCACATGTAGTCCAAAGCAACTCACAGGTGATTGGCTTCTCTTTATAGGGTGGCTTCCAGGACCAGGTTCTTTGAAACGGCTTCCCGGAAAACAGGAAGGTAAGAGACTCAGGTGACAGAAAAGCCAATTCACTTATTATCAATGCATCATGAGCATCATTCTCTTATTCTTTTTCTGTTTCTCTGTAGCTGTGTCCCTGTCTCTCTGCCATTTTTTTCCCTACATCACCTTGTCTAGTTCTTTGTCTCACCTGTGTCTCTCTGACTCCTCACACTTTCTTTCTTTGTCATTCTCAGTTACTTCCTGTCTCTCTATTGGTTTCTTTGTATGTGTCTCTGTTTTTCTCTGTGTCTCTCTTTCTGTCTATGTCTTCCTGTCTCTCCTTTTGTTCATTTATCACTCTGCCCCTCTTTCTCTGTCTCTCACAAACATGCACATACACACTCAAAACCATGTGTATACATGCACACACACACACACACACTTGCACACACCCCCTAAGCTGTATTGCAAAAACTGTACACCCAATGTAGCTCTTGTTTTTGTTGTTAGTTTATTTATATATACCCCATTCTAAAATGGCAGCAGATAGGGATATGTACAATATGACACTCTGATATAAACAGCCTTAGAATAAGCATGGCTCTGATTTCACAGGTAAACATTTGACTTAGCAGTGGTTCTAAAACTGGTGGTACACCTAAATCACTTAGAAAATTTGGAGAAAAAAAAAAACACCTTCCTGACTTCTACTCTAGACCCACAAAAAACAGAAGCTCTAGGAAAATGGCCTGGGAACCTTGGTTTTTGTTTAATTTGCTTTGTCAACTTGAGAAAAAAAAACAACAAACAAACAAAAAAGAGTATGTTGGGGAGGAGGAGGAGAGCAAGAAAGCACACACAAGTGTAATATTTTTCATAAAGACCCACCCATGAGGACTAATTCCTGGTGGGCCTGCCTGCTTCCCTAGGGTAAGTCATTTGAAAATTAAATGCCAAGGAAATGTAATACAGTTAACTAGAATGAATGAAATGAACCAGACATGTCTAAAGGGAAGATTTTTAGAGGTGGTGATATCTGAACTGAGGCTTGAAAGAGGAGTGGACCAACACAGAAAAATGTGAGAGAATTGATCCTTGAACAGAGAACCAAGGCACAGAGAAGGGAATATGAAGAAGGCATGAACAAAGTCTGATAGAATCTTTAAGGCAGGCAGACTCCCAGTAGAGAAGTAGTAGCTGAAGTGATTGATGAGCACATGGAACAGACTAGTAACCACTACCAAGGAACTAGGTCTTGTCAGCCATTGCTCAGGAAATCTTTTGTCCAACCAGAGCTTAAGGGGTCTATAGCCAACAAAGGCACTTCAGTCAAGTACCGCCTACTTATTCTACGTCTGGGCTTCTAGAACCTGGATTTAACCCTGTTCTTTATCCTCTGCTTCCATCTCAGCAGGAGTGTAGATAAGACCAATATGATTACACCTGCCCTCCAGTACATTGTGAACAGCCATCCTAGGTACCTACAGGTTCATCCCACTCAGCATCTACATGAGGAAAACATCCCTTACATCTGGGCCTCTACTTGTAACTACTATTTGCATAAGTGCATCCCCATGGTGGCTGCTGATCAAAATCAATAAACTAATCACATGGCCAGTCCCATGTGTGATCATTGTTGCCAAGCTGTTCTCTCATCTCTAAGGAAAAGGATCATGTTTAACCTTGTCCTGCAACTCTTTGCTTCCCTTGTGTATACATGACATTCGTTTCCCTTCCATAATAGTGTTTAAAAAATAACTCTAAGAAAAGGAATAGTGGTTTGTTAAGAAGAGAAGGGAAGGGAGGGCACTTCAAGGAGGCAGGGAAGCTTAGGCAAGATGGGTTCAGAAGTAGTTAGTGTTCCATTTTGGCTAGAATGTGAGAGTGAGGTGGAGGGGGGCTTAGCTTAAAGTAAAGCCAGTAAAATGGCCAGCAAGACAGCCTTGTATGACTTCTCTTTGGTCTTTATTCCATAGACTCTTGGTGATGGGGGTGGGGATCATGGAGGATTTTTAAGCATCATAATGCACATTCTGAGCTGGGTTATAAAAAGATTGCTCCTTTGACAGCAGGGAGAAAAGATGGCAGAATAAAGACTGGCGGCAAGGAGGCCCGTTAGGAGACTTATCATCATAGCAAAAGTCCATGAAGCCCTGGTGTATGGTGTTGCCAGTGGGAACATAATCGGCTCACAAAAAGCTTGCTGACTTTTCAAATATGGGATGTTGGAGAAGGACTGAGAGAGAAGAGTCTGACTTGAGCAATGAAAGTAGATGCTACAGTAATCAACCAGGGAATATGCTCTTTGAGAAAGTTACTATGCTTGATTTTTGGACAGTGATTTTGAAGACAATATAGGACATCCAGTTAGAGATACCCAGTGTATAACTGCAACTTAGGCTACTGTCTGGGACTTGAATTAGTAGTGGAATAGTTGAATGCAGCCACTGTATAACTCCGTGTAGGGGGTATTATTCACATATACTACAATATGAATACTAGCTCTTTGTGTGGAGGTCCGCAGTATTTGGTGATAGAGAAAAGATCATTCAGGGAGCAGGAATAGACTGAAGACGAGAGAAAAACAGAAGGCTGAGGGCATAGCCCTGGGGACCAGATGTTGTATGGGGTGTGCTGGCCACACTGTAGGGGGATTTTTTTTAAATTAATCATTTGAGAGGTAGAGTTGCAATCAGAGAGAAAGGTCTTCCATCCTCAGGTTCACTCACTAGATAGCTGAAGTGGCCAGAGCTGAGCCAATCCGAAATCAGAAGCCAGGAGCCTCTTCTGGGTCTCCCACGTGGGTATAGGAGCCCAAGCACTTGAACCATCTTCTACTGCTTTCCAGGCCATAGCAGAGCGCTGGGTTGGAAGAGGAGCAGTTGGGACATGAACTGGCACCCAAATGGGATGCCTGAACTGCAGGCGGAGGCTTGGCCCAGTAAGCCATGGTGCCGGCCCTGGAGGGGTCTTTATTCTCTGATTGTCTCTTCTCCCTGTCTCTCCTCATATAAGATTAATGTAGGACTTATGTAAGCACATTTAGAAGTTGAGCAAAGCTAACCTAAGGCAAAGGAAAATTCATTTTTCATATATTACTTACCCTGTCTCCTTACCCTGTTACTAGAGAAAAATCACAGAATGAAGTCTGTAGTCTTGGGCCAATTTCCCTGGGCTGTCCTAGCCTCCTATAGTCTGGTACTCAAAGGATTGTTCTGGCATCTGAAAGATGTCTTTGTGTCTGGGAGACTGAGCGCTCCAAACTTGCCAGATAAGTAGCCCGACCTTTAAGCATGTTTTGAAATATCTGGACAGGGTCATTTTGCCATTTTTCAGGTGGTCTGTTGGGCACTGGCCTGGAAGGGTCCCCTATTCCTTTGCTTTGCCTCTGCAGTCCTGATTTCTAGAGTTTTAATGACATTTTCTTCTTTTACAGTTCGCAAGGCAGAGTTCCTGGAGATGAGAGTTGAGGCCACAGGTATGTCATCTCTACCCTAATTACAAAACCTTGTTCTATATAAGCCTTCTTTATGAGATCTGAGTTGTTGAGGGCTAGAAACCCAGCTAGGTCCAGAGGAAGGGAACTTACCTCCATGCTTCAGTTCATTTCCATTGTAATACATGACCTTTAAAAGTAGTGCCTTTTGATTCTGAGGTTTTGTGTGATTTTAAATCAGTTTTCTCTTTTCTTTTCTAAACAAACTATAGAGTAGTTTTACAGATTCCTTAAATTGAATTCATTAAGAATCATAAGCTATGACATTTGGGGCAAGTACATTTCCTTCTTTGAGATTCAATTCTCAGTCTTAGAAGGTTGGAACCTTCTAACTCTGAATCATTTGGTTCTTTTTTAATTTATTTATTTATTGAATCTATTTATTTATTTATCTACTTATTTATTTAAAGAATCACAGATATGGAGAGAGGGAAAGACAGAGAGAGAGAGAGAGAGAGAGAGAGATCTTCTATCTGCTGGTTTACTCCCCAGATGGCCACGAGGGTCAGAGCTCGGCCAGGCCAAAGCCAGGAGCCAGGAGCTTCTTTCAGACCTCCCTCATGGGTGGCAGGGGTGCAAGCCCTGGGCCATCTTCCACTGCATTTCCAGGCCATTAGTAAGGAGCTGCATCAGAAGTGGAACAACCGGGACATGAACTGGCATCCATATGGGATGCTCATGTCACAGGTGGCAGCTTTACCTACTACACCGCAACACAGGTCCCTTATTTGGTTCTATAAAGAAATCATAACCTCCTTTTTGGTATAAAAGGGGAATCTGTAGAGGGATTTCATTTCTTTAGATCAAATTGCTATTTCAGTATTACCCACCTGAACCTTCATCTTTAGTCGCTTCCATTAGTCTAATGCAAAGCCCTTTCACATCCATTATCTCAGTTGATCTATATAACATGCCAAAAGTATGGAGGATAATACAAGTATGTGTTCTACTTCAGTAAACGAAGGAGCTGAGGTTCTGATGGGGGAGAAGTGACATGTTTAAGGCCACGGGAGACTCAGAAGTCAGGGAGATTCCTTTCTCTACATAGAAGTTCTGATTGAATTGATTGTCAGGTTTCTGGTATGACCCAAAGCAGTGTAGACTTCAAGTATCTGGAGCTCAGCCCTCCATGTGCTCCCTAGCTTTCTATTCTTCTCCTGTCATTGGCAATCCACAGAGATCCACGTGTAGATAAAATTCTCTTGATCAACCCCCAAGGAGGTGCAATCCCAGTAAAAGGAAGTTTGGGGTTATTGGAGAACCACAGAGACAATGGGCATGCTGCCCAGGGGTTAAGGTCAGAGTTCTACTATCAGGCTTCTGTTATCTCACATAGACATTTTGGGAGTTGGAGTTGAGGATGAAGGCACAAAATCTTCGGCCCTGGTTATAACACCATCTCGGGCATCTTCTGTGGTATCTGATTTGTATGGGCCTTTTCCCAGCCAACCTCTGTTGCACAGAAGATTGGCCACAAGTTGTAGGCTTAGCTACCTCATATACCAAGACAGGCCCGCTACCCAGTGGCTGTTCAGTCTTGGCTAGTCCTAGCTAATTCTCTCCTTTCTTCTTTCTCTTTCAGGTTGTAAAGAGCCATGGCCTCAGGGGACCTTTCCAGGCTCTGAAAGGGTCGTCTTCAAACCCTGGTGTGCTGAGTCATTTTGTGCTGAAGAGCAGCTCCTTCCTGGCCCTGCACTGTCAGGCTCTGGGAAGCCACGAATAAGGGGCACATGTCCTAGACACGTGTTTATTTCTCCTCTATGTTCTGTCTTCATCCCCTCGGAAGGTCTATCTTGAGCTCCTGCAACACTGTGAATGGCTGCACTCCCTCAAGCCAGACTCTGCTGAAACCCAGATGGCCACTGACCTGAGTCGAAGAGAGGAGCCCAGTTTTAAATTCCTGTCTGAACTTCCTGCTTCTTTAAAAGGCCATCAAATGCTGGGCTAAAGACCAGTCTCAGGGGTCTTATTGTGAACTAAAGGCCACTTAAGCTATGGCCATTGCTTATCTTGGTTGGAGGGGAGTCGGAATGTTTGCCGAATATTGGAGAATCTTAACATGTCCCTTACTAAGGATATGGACAGTGGTGCCAATTTGGCACTCTGGTACTGCAATATGTCGTGAAGAGCCTCTGTGCTCCTGTGGGGCCAGACAGCATGGGTGATGCCTCTGCAACTCCCCATGTGGACTTAGGAAGGTGGCCTTCCTGCTCTTGTATACAGCCGCTTAGGACAAATCTGCAAAGCATGATTTGCATGTCACAGCATAGGTCCATCTGGATTAGTGTTTCTCCTGTTCTCACCTGACAGGTTCCTTTCCAAGCAATCAAGAAAAAAGAATCGGTTGGTGTTAGCAGATACTAGACTTGTTTATGTGCTCCCTTTGACTCTTAGTCCTTTCATTATGATCAATTGTGAACTGAAATTGATCACTTGGAGTAGTGAGATGGCATTGGCACATGCCACCTTGATGGGATTGAATTGGAATCCCCTGGTATGTTTCCAACTCTACCAATTGGGGCAAGTCAGCCCAAGCATGCCCCAAATTATACATCTCTTCCCTCTCTTATTCCCACTCTTATGTTTAACAGGGATCACATTTCAGTTAATTTTCAACACTTAAGAATAACTGTGTCTGCTAACACCAACCGATAGAATAAATAAAGGGGAGAGTGATCCAACATGGGAAGTGAGATACTCAGCAGACTCATAGAATGGCAGATGTCCTAAATAGCACTCTGGCCTCAGAATCAGCCCTAAAGGCACTCGGATCTGGCTGAAAAGCCCATGAGAGTATTTCTGGCATGGAAAGCCAAGACACTCTGGCAAAAAGATCTCTGTGAGTGAGATCCCAGTGGAAAGAACAGGTCTTCAAAGAGGGAGGTGCCTTTCTCTGAAGGGAGGAGAGAACCTCCACTTTGACTATGACCGTGTCTAAACAAGATAAGAGTCGGAGAACTCAAGGGGCTTCCATAGCCTTGGAAACTCATAACTGGTGCATAGGGAGATTACTGATGCCATAAACAGGAGTGTCAATTGGTAAAGTCAACAACAGGAGTCACTGTGCACTTACTCCTCATGTAGGATCTCTGTCCTTAACGTGCTGTACACTGAGGCTTAATGCTATAACGAGTACTCAAACAGTATATTTCACTTTGTGTTTCTATGGGGGTGCAAACGACTGAAATCTTTACTTAATGTACACTAAACTGATCTTCTG